CTCTTACAGCTCCAAGCCCAGCGATGTCCCCGCGGTGGGAGATGTAGATGTCTCCAGACCTGGCCTGGAGCAGGGAAGTGTGTGAAGGCTTCACCTCCTTTCTTTCGCCAGAAGTGTTCTTGTGAAGTGTTTGATTAAAATGTTATTAAAATGTTCTTTCCACACTGCTTTGAGAGAGGCCTTTAAAATTAGGGGAGCGCTGCCAGAGCTCTGACTAAGCCTGACCTTGGGTCCCATGCCATATGGAGCGACATGGGTGGGACGGGGAAGTGCTGTCAGGCGGGGAGGGAGGGGACCTTGCAGATGCCGTAGGACACGGCGCCTGTGGTCCTCGGGGCTTTCTGCTGTGGGATGAGGCTGCGCTGAGCAAAGGGGAATGCTCCCTGCTCCCTTTTGCAGGAGGTTCCCAGCACCGGAGCCACCTCGAGAGCAGCTGTTGGTTTGGGAGCTGCAAATCATCCTCTTCTGGCCTTGAGAGAGGGTTTCCAAATTGCTGTGAGCAGCTCGGGGCATGGAGATCACCTCTGTTTTAGCCGCAGTGCAAGAAGCATCACCTCAAGCAAATGCTTGTGTGGGACCTGGCCCATTTTCACAGCAGCGCTCCCCTGGGGCGGGGATGCTGGGTCTGGGTTGGGTGCCCAGCACTCTTCCCTCCATGTCCCTTCCCTCCGTATCCCTTCAGGCTCTTCCTGCCCAGGCTGAGGATGGAAGCAGATCAGATATGGTGGGTTTTGAGTCATTAGGCAGCGAAGGAGCAGATGCTGCTGGATGGAGCTTATATAATGCCAGGCACAGCATCCGGCCCGCACACTGGGGCTGCCGTAACCCAGATACAGCCGAGGAAGGAAAAAACCACACATAGGTCAGAGTCTCTCCCAAGCTGTTCGGTTGGGAGTAAATATTTACATGGCACTGTATCCGGCAGCAGCCAGGGCCCTGGGAAAAGCAGCCCAGCTCCCCCTTGGTAGGATGGGGATGAACCTTTAGCAGCTGAAATGGGAGCCCTCGCATTTGCTGGGGTGAGGCTGGAGACCGAAGCAGCTCGCCGTGCTGGGGCCGTGCTCAGGTGTCTTTGTTCAGCTTCCACAGCCTCCAAAAGACAAGCCTGCTTTATGCACCTAGGGGAAAAATCATCTGCCTTGCTGAACAATCCAACAGGCACCAATGGTTCTTGCCACCGCTGAAGCTGCTGGAGGAAAATTCCTGATGTTGCCCTCGATTGCCTGCACTTGGGTAGAAATGGCCCCATGCAAATCTGCTGACACCAAAAGGAAGACAACTGGTGTTCAGAAGCTGCAGAGCAAACTTTTGCAGCATGAGCATCGCCTTGCAACAGCTTTCCTTGCCCAAAATCTCTTTAATTTGAAGGATGGTGATTTCCTTGTGTCCTTCAAGTCCTTAGACCGCGGTTAAAACTGGAAAGCCAGTCCCCAGCTCCTTTCTGCCCTGACCTGAGGAAGAGCTGGCCACCAGCAGAGAGCGATCCCCGCAGTCGCCTTGCTGGGCACATGCAAGCCGGGGTGCGTGATGTGGGCAAGGAACCGTTTTCATAGGAACTGTTAACTTCTGGATTTCCTTTTCCTTGTGTGCTCAGGCTCTCGGGGTTGATGTTCACTCAACTGTTCTTGCTTTTAATAGTTTTGGTGGTGTTTGATGCTGTTGATAGGGGAGCTGCTCCCATGGAGTTTGTTTTCCAAAGGAAGAAACTTGGATGACTGTGTGTGCCCTGTGCTGGTGATTTGGGGATCGTGGGTCGCTCTCAGGGAAATGGGGTCTCAGGGGACTGGTGGGGTTCAGGAAAAACAGCCGAAACCCAGTGGGTGCTTCTCCACAGGAAAAGCTGCTCCATGTGCTCGCCTGCCCGCTCCTGCTCATCCCTGCTCGTTCTCCGGATGCGGATGTGCCGGAGACTGGCTGCCTCATCCCCTCCTCTCCCGCATCACTTGTTTATTCAGGGTGTGCTGGCAGCGGCGTGCCGGGAGTCTCGTACGCCTGGTGCAGGTGCTGCCTCTCCATTACTGTCCCTTGCTCCTTAGGGAAGCGCTTCCCATGCAGCTGGCACGAGTCCTGCGGAGCCCTCCCAGCCAGGGGGACCTCTTGGATGCCGGCTCCTGCCCTTCTGCTGTGGGAAAAAGCACTTGCTGCTTAACAGAGGACGATGAAGGAGCATTGGGGATCTTGCTGTCCCCCCTCCCGCTTCCCGGCTCATCCCGGGTTTGTGCTGGCAGCAGAGGATTTGCAGCACCCACTGCTGCAGATGAGTCCCAGTTTGCAGCAGGGCCACCACATCTGGGGATGGGTGGGTGGCATCAGTAGGTACCTGGGCAGGCGAGCGGCACAGACAACTGCTGTGCAAATAACCTTTTACCAAAGCAGCCGGGAACAGGAGCCTGGGGGTTTTTAAGGCTTATTATTATTATTAAGGCTATTATGAAGACTTATTCCCCTTCCCGCTGCTCCTGGATGTGCCCGTGGCCGGGCATCCTCATCACCCAGCATCCTGCCGCAGCCTCCCTCTTCCTCCAGGAGAGAAATTCAGGTGCAGAGCTGGGATCGGGCCAGTTTGCCCCTGCCTGGCATCACCCCTGCGGTGAGAGCGTTTCTTCCCATTAATCACCCCCACCCCAAAGTGGGATGCCAGCCCGGCACTCAGAGCAGGATCCCAGCAGGATCCCAGCAACAGATTTGTACCGATGAGCTTTCGAGTGCTCTAAAAATACTGAGCAGAGAACGTGGGGAGCGAAAAATGGCTGAGATTCAGTGAAATCAAAGGCATAATTAACATGCAGCCCGTGTGAGTATATTTTTAGGGCCCTACAAAAAGGCTCTAAAACATTGAATTCACATCAGCACACGAATGTTCCAGTTTAATGGGATCCTGGGGCCTGTGGGCAAGAAGTGAGGGATTCTTAATTGTCAGTGTTTGTGTTTTATTCATGATTGAATGTACTTAGCAAGCAAAAACTGATTTGCTGCAGGCTTCTCGCTGCTTGTGTGGCTTTAAACCTTATTCTGGCCAGGGCTGGCGTATGCTGAGATGGGCAATTGCCCGGTGTGCTGGAAGGGCCATTTGTTCCTGGTGTTCACATGAGCTGTGCTTGGAAAAGGGATTATCACCTCCCCTCCCATGGGGAGCTCCCTACCAGGGCTGCTTTGGGGTGCTCAGCACTTGCGTGGGCTCCGGCGGGTATTGGAGACAGAAGAAGAATCCCTTGGGGGTAAATCGGGAACTGCATCCAGCCTGGGAGGTGCCTGAATGCAGGTGGCTGGACATTGGGAGAGCACTGGGAGAAAGCTCGGATGCTTCCCATCTCCTCCCAGCTTCCCCTCGTGCCCAAACCCGAGGGCCACAGGATGGTTTGCTCAGAGATCAGTGCTGCTGCGGCAAAGACAAGGCAGAAACCAGACTGCTTCCCCCATCTGTCTGGCACCCGAGACCCACCAGAGCCACCCAGGTGCTGCCGAAACGGCACAGCCGGGCTTGCATGGAGCCTTGGGTGTGATGAAACCTCCAGCCCCTGTGGTGTCGGGCTTGCCCACGCCGGAGGCAGCGCCTGCAGCTCAGGTAGAAATTTGAGGTCTAATCCTGCCCTCAGAGACCTGCGTTTGGCTGTGGCCGTGGCCAGTAGCTGACTCACTGCCTGTCCTTAGGGAGGGACTGGGGAAGCAACCGCTTTTCCCACCAGAGCCGGATTCGTGCGGCGCCTTCACCGCTTGGCTGCACAGGTGGAGGAGGGATGAGCCGGCACCGCGGCGCAGATGTGGTCCCTGCAGGCTCGGCGGCGGGGGACGGGGGTGCTCATGTGGTGCAGAGCCGCTCTGGATCATCAGCGGGATGGTGGCTCGTTAGGGAGGGTTTTTTTTTAATCTGTTGTGAAATGATGTGCAGATGGCACAGCCGCCCGGCCGGAAGGAACGGAGGAACACGGGATGCCAAGGCAGGGTTCCTTATTTTAAACCGCTTCCCTTGCCAGGGAACAAATGTGCCACACTTCAAAATAATAATTATAAAGCCTGGGAGAGGATCCAGGGAACCCAAAATCCTTCTGTGTGTATCAGCACGTTGGCTGAAGTGCTGCTTCGGTTGGCGTCGTGCTGCCTGCCCCACCCGGCAGGCAAATGCCCGCATTGCCAGGACTGTGTGTGGTGGATGGATGTTGTCCCAGCGGGTCATGGCTGGCGCAGAGGGCTGCATTAGGGGTCATGCTGTGATTCAAAAAGGGGAAAACGAGTTCCCTCTTACCTCGCACCCCAAGGAATAGCCCTGCACCGCGAGGATATGTCCTGTCCCTGCTCTGTGCCCGGGCACAGCCCTGCCTGCAGGGAAGGCAGGCGTTGCTGCAACCGGCCTTATAAAACCTCCCAGCTTGTTCCTGAAGCTGCAGGAGGGGGAATAAGGAGCCGCTCCAAATGCATCCTCAAACCCACCGAGCACCAGCTCCCCTCCCTGTCCCCTGCGTCAGGGACACCCAGGGATGGGCACTGCGCTGCTGCCTCCTGCCAGAGCCTGGCGCGCTGGGCGTAACGGCACTCGGTGGGCAGGCTGCCGTCTGACGGGAGGTAAATGCCAGTGCCTACGTGTGCCCGGGCTTAGTAGCTGTGATGGGAAGAGCTGGAGCCAGCGACAGCTTGTGTTGTGAGAACTGCCTGTGCCACAAACGGCTGTCACGGGGGCCTGGGGGTCCCCTCGGAGACCCCGGGGTGCCCGGAGGGCGGCTGCTGCCTGTTGAACTGGAACTCGCTCTTATTTTCCAAACTGAGATCAAGCAATGCCAGGGTATGTGGGCCTGGTGAAGCTGCACTTTCCACTTTACAGCGTGGGAGTGTGGGGAAGAAGGGGGTTAGGAGGGGAAACTGAGGCACGCAAAGAGCAAATGATCCTGAAGAGTACAGGGAGGGCTGGGAACTAGTCCCTGGCTCCCACAGGGGTGTCCTCCTGCAGAGAGCATCCTCCAGTCGCATAACCAGTGTGTGTCTTGCTTTCTCCTCCTCCTTCCCAGGCTTCCACGTGATCCCTTCGGTGTCCAACATCGTTCCTGAGAGCTGCTTGCTCATCGTGGTGGGCCTTTTGGTTGGGGGGCTCATCAAAGGGGTGGGTGAAAAGCCCCCTATCCTCAAGTCGGACATCTTCTTCCTCTTCCTCCTCCCACCCATCATCTTGGACGCTGGCTATTTCCTCCCTTTGCGCCAGTTCACCGAGAACCTGGGCACCATCCTCATCTTCGCCGTGGTGGGGACAGTCTGGAATGCCTTCTTTTTGGGTGGCCTGATGTACGCCGTGTGCCAGCTTGGTGGCCCTGGCCTGAACCACATTGGCCTCCTGGCCAACCTGCTCTTTGGCAGCATCATCTCGGCCGTGGACCCGGTGGCCGTGCTGGCCGTCTTTGAGGAGATCCACATCAACGAGCTGCTCCACATCTTGGTCTTCGGGGAGTCCCTTCTGAACGATGCCGTCACGGTTGTAAGTGGATGAGGGGGATCGGCCAAGGGGATGGGGTTCCCTTTGGTGGAGCATCTCTGGGTGGTGGCACCAGGATGGGCAGCTGTCTGTCAAGCCCTGAGGGCAGAACCATAGACTGGGCCATTGCAAGCTGCCAGGTGCCTCCTGCCAGCTGAGCTGCGGCAGCTCCGCTTGCTCTTAGCTTTTTGCAGGTGCAAAGCTAAATATAGCGGCTTAAAACACCGCAGAGGTGGGTTAAGGTGAAGCGTTTTACTTGGCGGTTTGGGGAGGCCGAGAGCACATTGCCAGCCAGCTACCACCTGTCGATGAAGAGCAGGACTGTGCCCAGCGCCTTGGTCTCCTGGGAATCTGCTCTCCTGGGTGAAATGGCTGCCTGCTGCTGTGCTCATGCCTGTCCTCCCAGGGAAGGCGAGCAGGAGCATGGAGGGGCTGGTGCTGGGTCAGGCAGTGCTGCCATGTAGCTGCTGCTCCCTCCTGTCTCCTTCCTGATGGTTCCTGATGTGGTCTTCCTTGCTGTCCCCCAGCTGTAGCACCAAGGAGGTGTGAGGACAGGACATGGCCAGCTGTGGCAAGGGGAGAGCTGTGGGGGCTGCAGCCAGGCTGGCATCCTGCCTGGGTCACCCCACAGCCCCCATCTTTTGAGCAGCAGCTTTGCAGGGACCTTTGGGAAGTTAGAGGGCCAGGCCACCCCGCTCTGGGGCCATGCCATTTCCAAAGGACGTCTGTGTCCAGGTGCTGGCTTGGCTGTCAGCGCGGCGTCCTCCTCTGCAGAGCTGACCTCTAAATTTACTTCTAACCCACTGCTTTTTCCTGGCTCTTCTCCCGTATCCCAGCTGTCTGCTTCGGCGCTGGCTGCTCAGCACACGGCAAAGGCTGGCAAGGAATGTACTGTCCCACCACAGGGCTTCCAGGCACTTCTCCCCCACTTTTGGCCAGAGGGGCTCCCTGCAGGGTCTGTGTACCCACTCCCATCCCTGGGGAACACTTTTGCCTTCTGCTGTCACGTCTGTCCCTGCTCGTGTCCCAGGACCCAGCCCTGGCAGGCAGGAGCTGGCACCTCGCCCTCTCTCTGCTTGCAAGCGCTGCCATCCCTGCAGGATGCCCTGAAGCCCATTTCCCATCCTGACACGGCTGTGTCGGCTTCTGCTTTAAAATCTCTTCAGTAAATGTATTTGGGGTTGGGAGGAGGTGATACAGCCCGGGGTGGGCTCCTCTTCGAGGTCGCCCTTTTGGCTACAAAATGGCATGAGGGTTTGGGTTGTTCTCTGGGCTGAGCAGGGCAGATGTTGGCTTTTCTCTCCATGTGGCTGTCGGGTGTCCCCCAGCCTGCATCTGTCCTGGGATGGATGCTCGTTGGGAAGCAGGAACAGTCTCTGGCTGGTTCAGACCTTGACCGAAGCCCCTCCTGGGACAGCAGTCAGGGCTGTGTTGGAGAGCAGAGCTGTCCCAGCCACGTCTCTGATGGCACCATGTCCCTGCGAGCCATGGAGGACAGGGAGCTGGTCTCTATGGGTCTGTGTCTTGCACAGCAAAGCACCACCAGCTTTTTTTGGCATGAGGCTTGGTCAAGCACAGGACCCAGCTCAGGGTCACCAAGCACTGGCACACCTCATCTCAGGTGTGCCATGCTGGGTACCTGCCTGGCTCCCTTTGCTGCTGCTCTCCCAAGGAAGGTCCCTGAGCAGGTCTCCTCCGAGGTGAGGCTGTCTCTTGCCACTGGGACAGTTTGAACCCCCCTCTCCCTTCTTCCTCCCAGGTCCTCTATCACCTCTTTGAGGAGTTTGCCAACTTCGAGCAGGTGACCATTATCGATATCATCCTCGGCTTCCTCAGCTTCTTTGTGGTGTCGCTGGGCGGTGTCTTCGTGGGCGTCATTTATGGGGTGATCGCTGCCTTCACGTCCCGCTTCACCTCCCACATCCGAGTCATCGAGCCCCTCTTCGTCTTCCTCTACAGCTACATGGCGTATCTCTCCGCTGAGCTTTTCCACCTCTCCGGCATCATGGCGTGAGTTGGGCATGGGTGGGATGAGATGCCCTCCTGTCCCCAGGACCATTTGGAGGATTTACTCTGGTGTAACCGCAGCCCTCTGGCTGTCCCAGCATGGCCAGTACATGCCCAGTGAGGACCAGAGGTGTGTTTGGGCTGGGATATGCAGGGAGGCAGATGAGGGAAGTGACTCTGAGTTGTCCGACAGATCCAGGTGCACTGGCAGCCCATTGCCCATTCTCCTGGGCACACAGGAGCAGGCAGGGCCTGCTGAGCACTCAAGACGGCATGGTTTTGTGCTGCCTGGCTCCAGTGCTTGCTCCTGCCCTGCCAGGGGGGAAGGAGAAACCCCATGTTGCCTTCTCTGGTGGCCTTGAATAATTGCTGGTATCTCACAAGCCCTGTCCTGCTCTGAGGTTTGGTATAAGAGGACAAAATACTGCTGCAGGGCCAGCAGTTGGGGCTGTCCCCATGGCTGCTGAGTGCCCCCACCTTGCCCCTAGGCTCATCGCCTCTGGCGTGGTCATGCGGCCTTATGTGGAAGCCAACATCTCCCACAAGTCCCACACCACCATCAAGTATTTCCTTAAGATGTGGAGCAGCGTGAGCGAGACCCTCATCTTCATCTTCCTGGGCGTCTCCACCGTGGCTGGCCACCACTACTGGAACTGGACCTTTGTTATCAGCACGCTGCTCTTCTGCCTCATCGCAAGAGTTTTAGGTGAGGTGTCAGTGTGGTGGCAAAGTCCTTGGGGATGGTCGTGGGTGATGGGCAACTCTCAGGGCCATGAGGCTCAAGTTTGCCTTGCTGGGGAGACTGGAGTTGACTGGGCAGCACTGCTCCACCGTGGGCATCAGCCTTGCTGGTGGTTGGCTTTGTGGGGAGACGGGGTTGAGTCCAAGTTTGTGCTAGACATGGGGTTGAAGCTGGTGAGGGGTGTTGGGATGAGCGAGAAGGATAGCCCCCACCTGCACCCATGGCCCCGAGGAGGTGACACTGCACTGGGCTGCAAGCTGGGCTCCTGGGGGGTCTTCTTCAGGGCTGGTGGGCATCCTTCACCGTCCGCTCACACGAGGCCCTGCCCCGCTCCCCCAGGCGTCCTGGTCCTCACCTGGTTCATCAACAAGTTCCGAATTGTGAAGCTGACGCCGAAGGACCAGTTCATCATCGCCTATGGGGGCCTGCGGGGAGCCATCGCCTTCTCCCTCTGTTACCTCCTGGACTATAAGCATTTTGGCATGAGGGACATGTTCCTCACAGCCATCATCACGGTCATCTTCTTCACAGTCTTTGTGCAGGTTGGTGGCACGCAGGTGGTCGCAGTGCAGTTTCAGAGGGAAAGGGGGTTATTCAGTGAGCCTCGTGTGTGTGTGGAGAGTGAGGAGCATGTCCCCAGCCTCCATCCCTGACCCTGTCGCTGTCCCCCTTCTCCAAAAGCTCTTGAGGCTGCCAGGTGACACCGGCGGTGCGGAGCCCCGTGGTTTGGCTGTGCTGAACCCATCACACTCCCACCAGTGTGCCCTGGGGAGAGGTTTAACTCACCCTCCCCATTCTCTAGGGCATGACCATCCGGCCCTTGGTGGACCTGCTGGCGGTGAAGAAGAAGCAAGAGACGAAACGCTCCATCAACGAAGAGATCCACACGCAGGTAACCCACGGTGCCCGGCCGGCCCTTCCCGCGCGCTTCTCTTCGCCGCCTTAGCCCTCTTCTCTCTCTGCTTCTGCCACCTCCACCGCTGTAACCAGGCGGGTTTACGGAGTGGGAGCTGCCCTTAAATCAGTGCCCAAGGTAAGGGGGGACGGAGCGGGTGCTCTCCCCCATCTGTGTCGTCCAGTGCCCACTCCAACCCAGACCTCCCCTGTGCCTGGTAGAGCAGCAGCCCGGTTGTGTAGGACCGTGCTGCCCTCCTGAGGCCCATCCTGGACCCACAGCCCTGATTTTGCACCCCCTGAGTGCCCTAACCCCTGTGTCAGCGTGGGTGTTGTGGTGGGGAGAGGGTGGGCAACAGCCCTGTGAGCTGCCTACACCTTGGACCTTCTCTTCCAGTTCTTGGATCACCTTCTGACGGGGATTGAGGATATCTGTGGTCACTACGGGCATCACCACTGGAAGGACAAGTGAGTGTGAAGGTTTGGTGACTAGCAGGACTGGTGGCGGAGATGGGGAAGGGTTTGAATCGCCACCCGGCAGGTTTTGCAGCCCTGTGCTGGATTTTTCCCTGGGCTGTAATATCCACACGCACACTCCCCTCAATGAATTACGGCCCTGGGTTGGGTACGAGTGGGGCTGCAGGGCCGCACCCCTTCACCACGCCACCCACAGCATGCCCACAGCAGTGCGGGAGCTGCTGGTGGCTGGTCCCTGCAGGAACTCAGGACCATCCATTGTGGGTACAAGCAGCTGCTGGGTGTTTTGGAGGCTGCCTGGCTCGGGAGGGAGTCGGGGAAGGTCTGGCCTGACTGCGCTGGTGGGAACTGAACCATCTTCTGCTGACCTGGGCCAGGGATGGGAAGCTGGGAGTGGGTTCGAGGGCAGTGGGAGGTCTGATGTATCGCTGCTCCTCCTTTCCCCACGTCCTTGGGAAGGCTGAATCGCTTCAACAAGAAGTATGTGAAGAAGTGCCTGATTGCGGGGGAGCGGTCCAAGGAGCCCCAGCTCATCGCTTTCTATCACAAGATGGAGATGAAGCAGGCAATCGAGCTGGTGGAGAGTGGGGGCATAGGCAAGATCCCCTCTGCTGTCTCCACCGTCTCCATCCAGTGAGTTCCCCGGCCCTGGCCACCCTGTGCCTCTGACGGGCCCCTGGTATAGGCTGAGCACTCCCTGCTAGTGGCCACAGGGCAAGCAGCCATTCAGTCATGCCATGGCCATCGCAGTGTCACTCTGAATCCTGTCTGTCCACGCAGGAACATCAACCCCAAGACCCTCCCTGTGGAGCGCATCCTTCCGGCCCTGTCCAAGGACAAGGAGGAGGAGATCCGGAAAATCCTTCGCAACAACCTGCAGAAAACCAGGCAGAGGGTAAGGTGTCCCCTGGCCACCGCTGCTTCCCTGGGCCCTCAGGGCCAGCTGGGCCCTTAACCACTGGTGTCTCTGCCCTGCTGCCCCTTGTGTTCCTGGTCTGGCTCTCCCTCCCCAGGAGGCTTTTCCTCCGGGGATGGCGCTGGGATAGTGCTGAGGGGGAGGCTGGCTGGGTCAGTGGCTGAGCCCAGGGTTTCAACCCTTGCTGGGCCAAGGTGGGTCAAGATCAGGCATCCCAAGGCAGCACACAAGGGACGAGCCACCTGCTTGCCTGGAGGTGCTCTGCCCACTGGTGGCTGTTTCATCCACCTCCAAGGGAAAGCATGCAGTGACCTTCCTTTGCCTTTCCCTGTGTTTTTTTTAACCCGGCTCCTTTTCTTGGGCCCTTTTCCCAGTTGCGATCCTACAACCGGCACACGCTTGTGGCTGACCCCTACGAGGAAGCCTGGAACCAGATGCTCCTGCGGAGGCAGAAGGCCCGGCAGCTGGAACAGAAGGTGTCAAGGGGATGCTGCGGAGGATGGGGGGCTGCGGGGGGCTTCCCAGCCTGGGAAGGACATGGGTGTCCTGCATGGGGAGGGGGCTGAGGTTCAGATTTCAGTGGGGGACCTCAAGCCTTGAGGGTCCCTGCCCTCTGATCCCCCCAGTGCAAGGGCAGGCTCCATGTAAGTCCTTGCAGCATGGCTGGGAGGATGCATGCACGTCCTCTGCATCCCGCTGCTGCTTCTCGCTCATCCCTGTGGCCTGGGGTCAATTCCCTGCATCCCCTTCCCCATTTATCCTGGCCACTGATGGAGACGGTCCTTGTGCTCTGATTCCAGATGAACAACTACTTGACAGTGCCGGCTCACAAGCTCGATTCGCCCACCATGTCCCGGGCTCGCATAGGCTCAGGTAGGTGAGACTGAGCTGCTGGGGGAGCGCCACTGCCGGCTCCTTGCTGGGCATCGCCGGCACTCTGGCGCTGATGCACTTGGAGGCTGCGTTGTGCTGCACCCCCCAGCTCCTCTGCCACCTCTCCAGCCCCGACTGTCCCTGTCCCGCTCCCCCGTGCGTGATGCAGCCAAGCCCCGGGCATTTGCTCTTCTTGAGCCTGAGCTCTGCTGCGTGCAGCCTGGGCGCACGGTGGGCTCTGCCTGAGCAGAAGCACCCGGCTTGCTTCCCGGCACAGTTCCCATGAGGAAGCGAGCTTGGCGGGGCGGTAGATCTGTCCAGAGCTGGGCCCGCTCCGTCCACGCAGCCGCACTTCTGGCCATGCTCCCTGCCCTGTGCAGGGGAGAGGGCCAGGAGCGCTCAGCCCTGAGACCTGCCCTGGCCTCCCGCCTTCTCCAGCACGCACTGCCGTCTGCTCTGCCGTCTTCTGCTCCTCCTGTCCTGTGTGTCCTTCCCTGTCCTGGGGACAGTGTGACGAGGCGGGGCGGGGTGT